ATAAAACGTACAAAAAAAAAAAAGAAAAAAAGAAAAAAGAGAGTTAGATACATTAACTAAAGTTCTTAGGTCATAATTAATAAGGATTTTGGCATGTGAAATGTTATCTCTTTAGAGTAAGATAAGCTAAGAAATGTACATCTTAGGCCATGAATAAGTCTTCTTCAAGTCTCCCACGTGGAGTAGATATATCACATCTTTTTTGATATAGAAGCCTTTAGCTGAAGTCAATTAATTTCACAATCAATATACACTAGCTGCAAGCTAGATTGGCCAAAAATGATCTTTATTCTCCTGGTTTCTGAGATGTATGTAAATAGGTTTGGCTTGAATCGCTTGACTTGCTAGTCAATAGCAAGTGGATTCAAATTAAAGCTAATTTCTTGGCAGTGTTTAGAAAATAGGCCACTAATGGGCCATAGCTTATGTACATAAGGATATATATATCATTGGACCATTTTGCACGATAGAATGTAGAAAAAAAGAGAGCAAGATACATCTACTAAAATTTTTAAGTCGTGACTAATGAGGATTTTGCATAACGCTGCCTCTTTAGAGTAAGATAAGCTAAGAAATGTACATCTTAGGCCATGAATGTCTTCTTCAAGTCTCCCACATGGAGTAGATATATCACATCTTCTTTGATGTGGAAGCCTTTAGTTGAAGTCAATTAATTTCACAATCAATATACATTAGCTGCAAGCTAGATTGGCCAAAAATGTTCTTTATCTTTCTGATTTCTGAGATGTATGTAGATAGGTTTGGCTTGGATCGCTTGACTTGCTAGTCAATAGCAAGTGGATTCAAATTAGAGTTAATTTCTTGGCAGTGTACAAAGAATAAGGTACTAATGGCCCAGAGCTTATGTACATAAAGGATAAATATATATAAGTGATATATATATATATAAAGTTTATATATATACAAGGGATCTATATATATATCATTGGACCATTTTTCACGATAAAATGTATAGAAAAAAAAAATGGAGTGAGATACATTAACTAAAATTCTTAGGCCGTGACTAATAAAGATTTTGGCATGTGAAATGCTGTCTCTTTAGAGTAAGATAAGTTAAGAAATGTACATTTTAGGCCATGAATAAGTCTTCTCCAGGTCTCCCACGTAGAGCAAATATATCATATCTTCTTTGATGTATAGGCCTTTAGCTCAAGTCATTTAAATTTTCTTTAATTTCCTTCTGATTTCTTAGTTGTAGACGGATTTGACTTGAGTCACTTAACTTACTAGTCAACAGCAACTGGATTCAAATTAAAGCTGATTTCTTAATTAGCAGCATACAAATTAGGCCACTAATGGGCCAAATTTCCCGACATGGACTAGGTAATTAATTCAAATTAGAGCTAGGATCAACACTTGCACACAATTTTTCAGCAACTAATTTTTTAAAAAACTTGAGAAATTTTTCAAAGACACTGAGGGAAAAAAAAAAAAGAATAGTTAGGGAATGCTAGAAGAACAAGGATGCTTATGGTTAGGGGTCTTCACAGCATGGATTGGATCAAATTTTGACATTTTATAACCAAACAAATTTTATTATGGATGTTTGGAAAAACAGGACGTCCTGTTTTTCTATCTTTTCTTTAATTATTTAGTAAAAGTTATAAACTAATCTAATATACTATTATATTATAACTAAATTAATTCAATTTAGATTCAATTGCTGTGGTTTGGTCAGACTTATTAGTTTTCTAACAGTATTTTGAATATATTTAATTAGATAAAAAATCAAAGTATGAAACTATAGAAAATATAATTATAAAACACAATAATATCATAGACTATAAAATGATAATACAAATTACTAGATTGAATAAAAAATTAAGAAGAAGGCGAAAGAAAAATGTAAAAATTAATAAAGAAACAAAGACATATCAATTAAATTATCTTATTTATATGAAAAAATAAAAATTGACTTTTATTAATTGTTTAATTAAATTCGTCAACTTAAAATTAATACTAAGATTAATATCAATTTTTATATTTTTTATATATTTATGATAAAATAATATTTTTAACTTGTGACCTAAACTCTAAACCTAAATAAATATATATATTATTTTTAAATTTATATATATATATTAAAAGT